AAGTCATCAGCAATGATACTTGCATTGGCAATTGCATGTTCATACGTTTCATCTGATCTACGATTATTTAATTCTGATATAAGATTTTTGTATTTCATTTACCGCATTTACTAAATTTAAAATATCGTCTCAGATGTTAATGGAATTTAAACGACAAATGAATTTAAACGACGAAATTATCTGAATCAACTTTTTTTCTTGAGTTCTTGATTCCATGTGTCTTGTTTGACCTTCTTGATTATTTATTAACGCTCTCAAATTTCCCTTTAAATCGTTTTCCAACGGTCTTAAAGCTTGAATTCTACTTTCCGATCTGGTGCAGGAGAGCGGCTTTAAATTTTCAACATACCGTTGCAAAATAGACCAACGTAACGTAATGAAAAAATCTGATGTGTACACCACATGACTTCCTTGTACGGAATATTAAATTATGCGCATTTTTTCTTGCATTTCATTTAAACTTATTGGATTGAATTAAATCTACTTCACCGACAGCGCATAAACCACAATAGAATAAATGCATTCTTTAAAATTCACTCTAGTATTTGTTTACCATAGCGACACTCTGGCGCTAGATTCACTTAACAGTATTATATTTCGTTCATATTATAACTCATAATGCACAAAATTTATATCATTTAAAGAATTATCTAATCGTTGTCACATGTTCTATTCAAATACTATAATAAAGCTAGAACGCTGTATAAAAGAAATTAAGCAAACAAAAGAAAAAAGAAACAGTTTTTCACAGACGATTAAGTATTTCTAATTCAATTAATTCAGTTCTCACTTCGCGACAAGGCAAAAATACATAAAAAGTCAAAATATCTGTATTAAAAGTTACGAAGTAAATCTCAAACACTTATTTCCTCGAAAAAATTCCAGAAAGGATTAAGCATGATTTAATTCGCAATAATAAATGAAGGCGTTATCTTTGTTATTGCGAAGCTAAGTTTCTCCAGATTGACAACAAATCCACTATTCTGCTGTTTCAAATGTAAACAAGCAATGGCCGCCATCAAACACATTATTAGGCTTAGTGGCGCTTAAACAACTTTAAAATTGTTGATAATTCTAAAAATATTGCATACAGATTTACTAAAGACATAAAAACCTTAAACGGAAGATAAGAACAACATAATTCAATCATTTTTAAAGCAAAAAATGTACAATTTACAAACATGTAAGCGTAAAGAAACTGAGATCACTGAGCAGGGTAACAGAGTGGATACATATATAAATATATTTATATACGTTTGGTGCGGCCGATTGCAACCAAAATACGAGGTGCACATTTACATGTATTAGCAGTCCTATATACAAAATTTCAACGTTCTGAGGCTACTCGTTTTTGAGTTATGCTAGATACGTACGTACGTACATACGTTCGTACAGACGCCACGAAAAATTCTTTTTAAATTTAGAATTTAAAATTCAGAATTCATTTTAAAGCAGTTTTATAATTTTTTTGGTGGAAGAGAGTCTTTTATTCTGTCCTTACGTACAGCTATCACGCAAAAACATCGTCAAATTTCATTCGTCAAACATCGTTAAACATTCAAAATGGATATTTTCGTTGAAATATGGTGCCTGAAACTTTTCGCGATTACAATACTTCCTTTTTACTTCGTACAAGGAAGTAAAAAAGTAGTTGTAAAGTTTCTGCACTACTCCGAAAAAATTAAACCGTTTCGAAGGAAATTTTAGGTGCATCATTTTACAACTAGATTAGAGAATGGGCAGGGCAAGGGATATAGAGTGCCCTCAAATTATTTTCAATAATTTTTTGTTGCAATCCTTTGTGCTTTCCTCTCATATTAGCACCATTATCATAAGATTGGCCTCGTAAATCTGATAAATTTAGTTCTAACGATTTTAAATGTCCATTTATGAATTTAAACAAGACTTGTCCAGTAGTGACGTCGACAGATTGAAATACTAAAACATGTTCTTCAATTTTGGGCTTTATTCGTTTCTCGTTCGTATAAACAAATCGAATTACAACAGTCAATTGTTCGGTATGACTAACATCAGGTGTAGTATCCAGAATTAGTGAGTAATATTTTGACGATTTAATAATATGTAGTAAATGCTTTTTAATTCCTTCTGAAACAATGCTTATAATTTCATTCCTTATTTGATCCCCTAAGTAAGGAGGAATGTTCTTTTGAGACGTTTGAATTTTGTGGAAATGTTCAACGATTATTGGATCAAACTGTACTATGGTTTCAACGAACTTCAAAAAATTTCCATTATCACTATGATACAACTCTTTCGAAAAACCTCTAAATGCAAGGCATTGCCGTGCTAAATATTGAATTAAATAACTAAGCCGTTCAATAACCGATTGCCAGTTAACCTTTTCTGCATCATAAAAGTCTTTATTGAGCTACATCAATAGTACATAAATTACGCAAAGACATTTCTCAAGTTCACTGCATTTTGAACTATATTTTAGGTGATTGCTTTCATGTACTTCTAAAAGGTGGGTTAAATGTGCCCAATCATTACCTCCATCCTTAATAAGCTGTGAATACTTCTTACTGAATAGTTTACATGGGAAGCCAAAAACTGCATTTCGGGAATTTGAATGTACTAAATAATTTCTAAATACTTTTTCTCCATTCGGTAATAGAACGATTCTGAAAACTTTCTGCCAGAATTATCTCTCGGAAAATGTTTGGTTATCAAGCGGGGAGGGTCATTTTCAATTAAATAATCTCCGATTTTTATAGAAATTGTATCAGGCCAGGTAGTTGGATCGTTTAATTGAAAGTCAAAATCTTCATTTTGAGATATTACGTTATTACTCGGCTAATTTTCTACGTCAACATCTACTATTGGTACAAATCGTGGCTTCTTCTTGACCATATTCTGATGAATTTGCATTTTGAGATAAATTTTCATTATGAAATTCCAAACCAGTCCTAGTTTAAATAGTCCTAGTTCAATTGCTTGTCCGCCTAATCCTATTTTGTTTCTGAGATATTTATTTAGAGATCCCGCCAGTTTTTGATTAGCTTCCTCTCGTTGCAATTTGCTTTTTCTATTTTGTGCTCCAGACTTATTCAACTTTTTTAACATCTTTCTAAAAAAAATGTTTATTGCACTAAATAAACAAATTTAATTTTCATTCCATATACAAAATGCATCATATGATTTTCTCTCAATATACTATTTCGAAATCGAAATCGAGTCAATGGCTAGGCGGCAATTAGTAGCCAACCGCTACTTTAACCGTCTCTGTTGGTAAATTGCCCTAAGGCGTTAATATACTATTTGAAATCGATAGCCCATTTATGTCACTTGCTACTAAATAAAGATTCAGATAAAAAAAAGTAATTTGACTGAAAATTTAGATTTTTTTTTTTTTCCCCAGAAAATTTATTTCTAAGAATATAGTGCGAAATTTTTTCTTCTTTCTGCTGATTCAAAATATTTAAGTAAATTGAACCAATATCAATACAAATTACTAAAACGCATTTTTTATAAGCAATTGAAATATTGAAAACATCTCAGGTGCGTGATGATTATAAACTATTCATGAAAAAGAGCTATAATTATTAGTAATTTTTTTCGATTATTTGGAAATTGTAATTGTATATCAGAAATAGATAAATCAAATTCTGCCCAATTAGGGGTAAGATTTATCTGGGTTTTATAGAGATAAATGAAAATTTGCTTTTTTTTTTTTGTGTGTGTGTGTGTGTGTATGTAATTATGGCAAAGCCTCGAGGGCTATCTGCCTAAGAGGAGGGATGCCTTCGTGGAGGACTTTCTAAGGGAAACTGTCTCGTATACACGTTACACATGGGGAAAACCACGAAAACGCCCATGCAGCCAGCCCGTTCGCGGGATTCGAACCTCGGACCGAACTACCAGTGTTCAGCAACGTTACCGCTCGGCCGCTGGTGGGCCTTAAATTTGCTTTTTTAATTATTTTGTTAATTTGAAATATAAAAATTTTTCTTAATGAATTGTTTCTGCGTGTGTGCCCTTGAATGTAAGAATCAGTAATCCGCCACATGGCCCTTTTTGGGACTAAAATGGTAAACTAGAACCTGCGATAGGTATCTGGTTTACCTCACAAAGTGTAACTAAATCTAAAATAAAAAGACTGAATAAATTTGCATGTAGTACTCAGAAAAGACAGCCACTTGAGAGGATCGAGCGAGCGCATTGCTGAGTTGTTTTACCACATGCAAAAATACCAAGAACGAATACTATTAAACACACAAAACAAAGAAAAAATAGAAAATAAAAAATAGCAAAATACATGTGCCCTTAACGTGATGAAAATATATTTGAGAATACAATAATAATTTTGAATGGCTAGTTTTGGTTGCCACATTTGAAAAATGTATGTATATTATCATTGCGGGAAAAAAAATTAAACAACGACTTGGAGCCGCAACACCTTCTCAGTACATAAAGAATAAATACTTATACGCCGATACAAAACATTCCCAATTCCTGTTGTTACATGTTACAAATTTTTAGATTTTTAACACGTTCCGTGTGGTAGCGCAGACTCCATACGGAACGTGCTTTTATTGTTCATATCGGCAATCAAGTTTTGTTTTACACAAACGAAAACAACCCGCAGAAAAGAAAACAAAGTAAAAAAAAAAAAAAAAAAAATTAAAATATAAAATTAAAGTAAAAAATAAAATCTCATTTTATTGCATAGACAATATAAAACAGGCAAAATTGCAAGCGTATAATTAACAACTTAAGTAACATTAAATTAAAAAAAAGTATAAGTACTATAAATTTTAGAGCCCCACCTGGCTCAGGAGTCCTTGTGCGGTGAACAATTTCGCCACACCCAACGCGTCGGCCCTGACTTCTGTTTCATGTTTTTAAGAACACTTCTTGAAAACAAGATTCAACCACAGGATTAAAGTATTGAAGCACATTTATCTGTCAAAAAACTGACAGACGCGCACAGATTTAAAAAAAAAAGTACAAATAATATCTTTTATAATAAGATATTTTACCTGGTCTCAGAATCCCCACATTGCAACCGTCAGGATCTCTCAATGGTTGGTTCGTCAAGTGATTCATTTGTAGTACGTGTATCAGCTTTGAAGGCTTGATGTCAAAATACACACCAGAATATTTCTCCTTAAGATAATAGAAATTACAGAGAGCTTGAAATGCTTTCTCAATATGAAATTTTTTCCATCGAAGGAATGATAAAAGAAAGATGTTGTCCATGAAAGGCTCGAAACCAGTTTTTTCTATGAAAAAAAAAGTAAATAAGATAAATCAAAGTTCATAAAAGATATAAATTTAAGACATAATTTTTGAAATAAATAAAATTTAAAAGATAGTACAATATTTCATTTCTAAATTACTAAAGCGAATTAGAAACATTAAATAGATCCCAAAACGTTTTATATATACATAATATCAAATGTTGTATGATCTTAAATTCATTTAGTGCGAAAACAAGTTATTACTACTTGCGCAATTGCTGCAAAGTAAGTTAATAATAATTTATTACTAATAATATTGATTAATTGATTATATTATCTCCTAAGTTTAATTAAGTATTATTATTTAAAAGAGTGAATCCATACTGGTAAGTTATATTTTGAAAGATGTTTTGAAGTAATTTGAAAGTAAAATGTTAAATAATGTTTTAACGGGGACTGGAGTTAAATCATGAAGAACAAAATTTCAATTGTAAATGAAAAAATTAAAGGCAAAATTAATTAAGTGCATGTAATCATTGTCATTGATCGGAAATTAGTTGACTTTTCAAGGGGAACAAACCAACTCCCGTTCAATGAACAATAATTAATAAACGTAAATACGAAAGGTGTTTCGTCTTTTTACTCGAGTTATAAGGTTAAGCCAAACCGGCAATTCTAGTCAGGCCAAATATTTCCGTGAATAGAAGGGATTATGAACCAATGCTGATATTCAAAGAACTTATTCCAATGAAGCATTTTAGTCAATTACAATTTTGAGTAAAAAGCAATTTCTGCAGATAATTTCGAAATGCTCGAGTAACCGTCCCTCGACAACCTCATGTTTATGCATTTGAGTTCTATATTATTTGTAAAAATTAAACATTGGAAATTGTCATTATGAAATCGAATTCAAAGTAAAGTTGAAATAAACATAGAAGATTACAAAATATAAGATAAATAATGCAAACTTTGTAAAAACAAATCAAAAAATAATATAAAAAATAAAAAAATATAGAAGAAAAGTGAATGTACATGAAGATATAAAGGCCAGAAAAGGTATTAAGTAACTTACATTCTTTCTAGTGGGGAGTTGGTCAAGTGTTCTCTTCGTGTCTGACTCAGAAGTGTAGTGTGTCCGAAAATTCTTAGTGGCAGCGGGGGCTATGAATAATATCAGTCGGTAAGACTTGGACTTTGCATTATTTATCTTTATTTTGTAATTGGTAATTTGTAAAGATATATATAATATTATAATTATACTTGTATATACTAATATATATAGTACATATTTATAAATATATGCATATATAAGTATATATTATATATATATCGCAATATCTCACAGTAGTTATATTTTAAACTACTAAAACGTTGAACAGAATTCAATTCAAAATACTGAGAAATCTAATTCGATCTCACCGTGAATTCGCTACAATCAATAACAGAACTAAGTAAACAACTAAATTGAGATGTTTTCCTCCAGCTTTTATAAGCTTTTTAATCATGCATGAGATCATTCTAGTATTTTCTCGATTTGTCTGGATAGCAAACGAGTACAATTACGGGATATCTATTTATTAAAATGTTAAATGCGCGTGCTGCTTTATTTCAATTTTTCCAGCGTAACATTCTCTTCAAATAAGTCTCGTGCTGCATTGCATGGGAATATAAAACAATTTTAATTACAAATTCTACTAAAAATAAATAAATAATTATAAAAAACCATAACAGTATATATATATACTATATACTTATGTATAGTATATATTAATAAAATGTATACTTATTCTACCTCAACTTCAACTATTACCGCATTCAGTAGAATCATTTGGGGCACTATTTACAGGGTTCGTACACATTTCTGCACACGGAAATTAAGTACTTTTAAGGACCATTAATGAAAAAAATTAAGGACCTATGAGCAAATGGGAACTGAATAAATTCAATTAAAAATATTATTCTATGCCTGAATTTCACTTTTGTAATACCATCCTAAAAATAAAATAGATCCCGAAGTAGTATGCATTATTACTAAACATGAATTAACTAACATAATTATTAATACGTTTGAGAATAAAATAAACTTCATGCGGTTTATCAAGTAGCATTAAATATTTTATACTTATAATAGTTGGCCATATGTAAAAGAAGATAAGTGACATTCACGTTTTACTAACAGTTAGTTTTATGCTTTTTTTTTTTTTTTTTTTTTTTTTTTATGTCTCATTTTGTCACATACTTGGTCAGTCTAGAGGTTTAGTAAATAGTAGGGAGATTTTATGTCAAACGGCATAGGTTAAAATGAGAAGTGAGATCATAATCAGCATGATTCATAACAAAAGACTGAATGTTGTCCCTCTGCTGCTTGCGTATAGAGAGACCTGCTGATTGGAACAAACCTGAAAGGCTTGATGTAGGCACGGTTGGCAAGTGTTGAAAGTTATTCAAGCTCTGCTTAATGCAGTTAATGTCACAGCTTTGTGTAGAGTTTCAGGGGTTGTAACCCAGTTAATGTACTTTAAGGCTCCAATAAGCCATTAAAGCGCCAGAGGTGATAAGATGTTTTATATATAAGTCTCAGTAGATGCAAGGAATAAGTTTTACTTGATGGTGTTGATGGTTACTTGATGGGTGTTGGATGATGGTTCTCCACACAAAGGATTTGGCGATTGGATTCTCTAAAACCCCCAGTCGCCCTTTAAAAGGGAGAGTATATAAGGTATTCCTCCCACCTTCTTGGCGACCCTTCGTGGTGTAGCACACCACTGGTAGCGGTATTCCAGATATCCGCGGTTCGATTCCCGGCGAAGGCGTTGTTAATTTTTTATCTTTCCTGCTTTCAAAAATACCTAATGTCTCTACAAGCCTTCCCAAACCTTTTTTGCTAGTTTATATCGATTTCCTTCTCTTTAATTATCGATCTTTTGTGACAATAATTAGTTTATTTATTTTATTAGATTATGGCAAAGCACTCAAGGGCTATCTGCCTTAAGGGAGGGATGCCTTCGTGGAGGAATTTCTAAGGGAAACTGGCTCGTATACACGTTACACATGGGGAAAACCACGAAAACGCCCATGCAGCCAGCCCGTTCGCGGGATTCGAATCTCGGACCGAACTACCAGTGTTCAGCGACGTTACCGCTCGGCCGCTAGTGGGCCCATTGTGACAATAATTAGAAATGTGTCTCAATATGCAAACCAATGTTCTCGCTAGTTTCTGTGTGCTTTATCTATTAACTTGTCAACCTCTCCACAATGTACCTATGAGGGTTTACTTGATCTGGTAAAAGTTAAATAGTCCCCCCCCCGCCGATAGACGTGAAGCAAATTATCGCTGTATCTGAAAGTAACTACAATATCAGACAAAGAACTTAAAACATGAATTCATGTTCTGATGCTAACAAAGTTAATTACAGCTCACGGTGACGTAATTAAACAAGAACAGTCAAATTCAAACTAAAAATGTGGACTAGTGGTCAAAGATAATACAATTTAATTTTAATTTATTCTGGCTCAGTAACTCTATCATATGAGGAAACAGAAATGGGAAGTTATAGTAAAGGCTGAAATGATAAACAATTGGGTAATTTACATAATAATAACTGTACATATCTTTGAAGAATAATTTTCTTTATGTATTCGGTTTCTTTCTTCAACGTATTTCCTTTTAATTTTAGAATTTTTGGATTTAATTAAGGATTTCTGTTACTCTAAAAAACACTAAATGCATTTAGAATGTACACAAAAAGTGGCTAATTTTATTTCTTTAGTAATATGAACATTCAGAAGAAATATGAAATATCTATGGTTAAGGCCGGTTACAGAGCAGGTGTGGCAGAATTTTTAGAATTTAGTGACACACAGAACAACAAAATCTAGAAATGGAATTGCATCAGGTGGGAAAATTTATAGCACCAGTTCTGTGTAAGATGTACTTAGACACATTAGATGAATCTTTTAAATTGTAAGTTTTCAATTTCTTTATTAATGCCTGCCCAAGTGATAAGATTAGAAGCATTTTTGATATTTTCCATGCTTTTGTCTAGTGAAAAGTAGAGAAAATAAAGTGAAGATAAACATGTTAAGAAAAAAAGATTCTAGTATCAGGAGTAAAACATTCAAATAGTATTATGTTTCCATTGTTCTCCCAGACGTTCTCAAAAAAAAAAAAAAAAAAGAAATTCATCGCAAACTTTCTGTAAAATGCATCCATTACGTGTTGATATGTTGAGACCATGGAGATATTTTTCATTTTGTCACATATTTCTCGAATCTCCTAGAATCGTGGGTCTATAAATTTTGCCTTCGAATCCTTCTAAACTTTCCATGCTGCAATGTCAAAAATACTAAAGAAAAATTATCCCTACCAATTCCGTAACAGCAAAAAGTCAGAAATATTTTGAAAAAAAAGAAGGAGAGAAGAAGTGTAAAATTAATTTTATAGAGAAAACTGATGCATATTCTGAGAATTTTGAATATTCCGAGACAATTACATGGGAAAAACGCTTACTATGATAAAATTAAAAAGAAGACATTTTAATTAATTACATAGCTAATTTTGCTTTTACTAAGAGCTGTTTCGTAAATTATGCTTTATAGCTATATACCTTGTTTATTTTTCATATTTAAAATATTGTATAATAAGTTGCCAAATGAAACTTTATAATATGACAGCGAAAAATAAAAATGTTTTATTTTAATGTTATTTTTGAAATATAATTCAAATATATTACCATTATTTTAATGAAATTTATCAATGTTATGATGTTTTCAAAAAATCGCCGAAAAATTCTCAGATTCCGGAATAAAAAAATTTCTATAGAAACTGATCTTAAAATCGCCAAAATGTTGACAAGTTGTCAAATTTAGAACCATTTAATAAAAGAATTCACAACCCCCAAAGCGAAAAGTTGTTTAAAAGCTCTTTATTAGAAAAAATGAATTTCGAAATGATTATGTTTCACTTTTTGCTTAGAAACTCGAGTATCTCATCATTTATATTAGAAATAGAAACAAATTATAGTCATGCAACAGATCAAGAA